GTTTATCTATACACATATCCATATGTATATGTGTATATACATACACATGCTTGGTATACACCCTCGTTCCTTTCCAGTTCTATTCCTTTATTATATTTGCTTCCACTCATATCAAATAGCAGTCAAACACACACCCCATCAAGAAGATAAACTAATTTGACTGTTCAGGTTTCAGTCAGTAAGATAAAGCTATTAAAAGATGAGGTAATAAGTGAACCGAACATACTTAAATACTTCAATGTTTTCAAGGCTACAAGTGACGTTTGCAGGCAGCTTTCATTTCTGTTTCAGTTTGCTGGGGGAAAGCACCCATTCCTCTAACTGAAGGTGTTAAGAATTTCAACCATTATTATAAAGTTATTATTTTAGTATCTATTTTTGAGTCCAGACATGCCAAGTGGTACTTATCTTTTGTAATGCAAGTGAGCTGATTGAAGAAACTGAAAACAGATTCCTTTTTAAATTCCATGAAATAAGTGGAACCAGGACTATATCTATCTCAGGTTATCATATTAACATTTCATTTATGGAATCAAAATCTTGCAGGGTGCATTCAAAATCCACATGAAGTCTTGAGTGCTAAAGCTTTCAAGAGGATCTGTACATTAGCAAATAAATAGGCAATGTAAGAATACAAGTTTGGCCACAGATGTAGCACCTAGTAACACATAAAGACTGAGGCTACTTCACCTAATGGTAAGAATTTGGCTTTAAAAGACTTTTAGACAACAGTAGTTTGTTCATCACTGTACCAAAAGCCAAAAAAACCAAAGGGGTGGGGGGAGTTCTCTGATGTTCCTGCAGCCCTCTAAGATATACAAAATTAAGCTGAGAATGATATGAGGGCCCAGATGGCAGTTTTCTAAAATAACTGGAGCCTAGCAAAATTCAAGTTACATATTGTCTGCTGCAAATACATATAATTGGCTTAAATATTTGCACTACAGTAACTATTGTACACTTCTACATACCAAAGTAAACAGCATCAACTTCACAATAACCACCCCAAACATTCTCACCTGCCTTTCCCATAAAAAGGCTCAAGTGCCTGTCAGTATCACAGCACTGAGTGTCCCGTATAGTTCTGGTATAACAGACAACTCGTAAAAATTTGTAAAACATGTAGTGAGCTGAGCAGGAGGAGGAATATCCTCCCTACCCACCACGAAGTATACACTGGAGGTGTGACATCCCTGGGGTCAGAGGAAAAATTCCAGGACTTAGCCTCTACAATGATCAAAGGCATTTCCACCCCCCCCCCCCGCCACACACACACACCAAAAAAAAAAAAAAAAAAAGAAAAAAAAAGAAAAAAAAGGTATTGCTGAAGGAGGCTGAGTAGCAGCAACAAGCACTATACACAGATTCATGGGCTTACACAAAAAACATGCTAAAATCAGACTGCATTGAGAAATAAGTCAGCTCTTCTGCTCTTTTAGTGGGATTTCTCTCAGTACCCATTTGTTTTGTTCTTCACCACTTTCATTTCACTGAGAAAGTATTGGCTGATTACCAATAAATGACAGTCAAAACATAAAGGAATTTTTGTTTCCTGTTTCCGTTACGACCTCTCTCCTCCCAAAGAGGTAACCATATGGTGGCATAAAAGCATCAAATACCATCTCTTTACTTTCTTTGGGATTTATCACATGAGCGTTCAGTTGTACAGAAGGCAATTTAGCCAAGCTGTTCTCTCTGCAAGTTACATTACTATATGGAGAAATCTTTAAAGAAATGTAAAGCTCATGTGCGTTCCATTTTCCTGTTCCTGAAACACATCACGGTATCCATTTTCCTTCTGGTTTTCACTGTGCCGTTTTCCCCTCTATTGTACATCATCTTCATCACATTCACTCACATTCTTTCCAAACTCCTATTGATTTGTCTTCATTGTTTCTTACCCACAAGCCTTCTCTTCATTCAATCCCTGTACTCTGCTTCTCACAGTCTTCCTTCCATATGAACATTTTTCTAAAAAGCAGACCTAAAATCCACAGTCTCAGCTGGGCTCCACAATATCATGCAGTTCTTCCAAGATCAAACAAATCAAATGTTCTATGAGCTGTGCTTTCTCACTTTAACAGAGGTATTCCTTGTTAGACCAGATTTGTTTCCATGCATTACATTTTGTCCAGCACTCTGCTCTTCAAATGTAACTGAAACATCTTCAGGTTGACCACTAGTCTCAGACTTGCTAGCAGATATTTGGCATCAATGTTCATTAAATGTTTTGAACCACAAAATTTGCCAAACTGCATTGGCTTGAGCAGTTCACAGGCTTCTGCAGTGATAGCAAAACCTTCTCCGACAAACAGTTTCACTGTATCTGTACAGCCACAGAGCATCTTCCATCTGCACTTTAGTTTTCAACTGTCCCAATGTCTGGTGGTCCTGGCAAACACACATATACGTCCTTAAGCTTCCTGGGATTACATTGAGATTTTGGTTGGTTTCTTCCAGTCTCTCACAGTAACTTTCCTCTTCTACCACTATCAAGCTGCAGGCACTTGTTCCTTGCACTCCTTCCAACTGTACAAGCTTGCTGTGGCCCCAATCCTCTTCTCACTTTACATGCATGCTGGGAATAACAAGAGGCTGCTAAAAGAACCACCAATCTTTTTGCCCTCCCAGTAAGCAGCCTAACACTGGCAAGGTTGCTTCAAAGAGTGCCCCTACCTCAACTGCGAGCCAGAATTTAGCTGAGCCACCTACATTTTTCCCAGTTGTGCCAAACGGGTAGAAAAGCATCGAATTAAGTATTCAAACACTCGGTGAGAATTCCAGTTGGGATCAGGAGCAAGATCCATGTGCCTTAAATCTTAGACACCTATTCAGTGCTAATACTCTGCAAAAAGAAGCTGTTCTATGCATTTTTAAGTAATGCTGACAATAGAGAGGCAGGTAACAGGTAAGTATGAGCTAATCAAAAACAACATCTCATCTCATTCCTGATTCCCCATCTGCAATAAAGCTGCACTTTGAAATCTCAGAGACAAGCATTGATGCAGTTGGGAGGAGGTAAACAGTGCCACATGCCACAGAAACAGCAAGGTGTAGCGTTTTACAGTATCTAGTAGCACAAGATGAATTCGCTGTTAAATAACAGGCAGTCTCTACCAGGAAGAAAACCAAGAGAATGCCTCCTGCACGGAAAATTGAAAGAGATGGTCTGAGAGTGTACTTGAAACACCCAGAAGAATCACAGCATTGAAAGCTATCCTGTACTCTGATTGACCAAGGAATTTCAGTAAAATCCCAACTTTTTCCTCTCAGTGAGGGAGATCTCTGCTGACATCCAAAAAATCACCCATGAAGACTGACGTGACTATGCTGAACAAGATCCTCGGAAAATTCTTCCACTGTAAAACCCTTAGAGTCACTTCTCCATACACATCATGGATCAAAACGCTCCCCTAAGCTTCCTAATTCAGTCTGCCATCTTATGCACCACAAGCGAGAAGAGAACAGTTTCTCAAAGCGTGCAGCCTGACCAGCCTTGCAGCTGACAAGCTTGCAGAGCCACAAGGGAAGGGAACTCTTTTTTTCTCCATCAGTAGATATCCTCAGCCACAGGGTAGACTACAAAGTATTAAACCCAATATAAGACCTACCCAGAAGCAAGTAGATAGGAAAGAAATGCAAATGTATGCAGAACTGCTATATCAAAACTATTGCCCAACAGTTTCATCCAGCAAATATATCCGTTTCTAAACAGAAGTAAACACATTTAAATAAATTTTAAAGTGTAAGAAGAGGAGCTTTATTTACCCACTTCCCCTGAGAAGAAGTGACCCCTTCACCAGAAATCAAACTAAAATTGTTATTGTTAATCTATCAAGCATTCCTTGTTTTTCAAAAACAAAGCTGCTGTACATAAACGACATGGCTTGTCAACTATGTATCAGCACAGTATGTTTTAGTAGCTTACGGGTTTTCTCATACATTGAAATTTTCCACCTCACAGCATTAAATTTAATTACATAACAATGAACTTCTGCCCTTGCGTAACCTGTTGGCCTGAAGTTGCTGAAGCTATCTGCTGGGTATAACGAAATTTTACAAATGCTTTTTAAAAGACAGAATGGGTCATACAACAGAATTAGACCTTAGAAAACAAAGGTCTTGAATTTTGCCACATACAGAAAAGGAAAAAAAGAGGGAGAATCTTTGAGGAAAGCTGTGCTTGATGATGCAGCACAAACTACTGTGAACGGCTACTTCATGTATTGTTCAGACAAACAACTCCTCATCATTTTCAGTATTTTTCAAGTTTTGCAACTACAATATCTTAAATAAGAACAAACAGATTGCTTTCCTGAAGCCCCTACAGCTAAGTTTCAGATTTAACTTTTTTTTTTAACTCGGCATGGAAAAGAGAAGAAAATGGAAAAAAATCCTCTTATGCTTTCAACATTACTTAAAAGCAAAAGTAAGCACAACAAGCTTTTACTCTCTTTGACTGACTTTTCATCATATGAGAAATATTGAAAGACAGAAATTAATACGTTACATTTCAGTCACATTTACATATGTATGTATTTGCATTAGCGGAAAAATCAAAAACTTACAGGAATCAGAACGTAACAAGTGACTTAGTTTTTCAGATCCAGTGAAAAAAAATCCTTTATCTCATATAGATTATTGTGTCATAGTCAGCACAGACCAGAAGAGCAAAGCCTGTAATCGATACAGCAGTTTCCAGCAATACAAATAAACAGTTAACTTGAAACAACGCTGACCTCTAGCCCCGTAGCAATCCTATCTCAAAGAAGCTTGATTTGACTTTGTGCTGCCATCCAACTGAAAAAAAAAACTTATGGTGCTTTTAAGCTGTGAATCTTAGGAGCTACTTCTATACTTACTGCTTAATGCAATAAAATTAGTTAGAAAATTGCTCTAATCTCCAACCAGGGAAAAAACCCTGAAATCTTCTCAGTAAACAAAAATTTGTTGTTAAGTGCATTTATGCAGAAAGATAGCAATGTCACCTTGATGCTTACCCAATCATTGTGTTTTCTTTAATCTGGCCCTCTGTGCCATTTACCATTGGCTCTTGATTTCTGTTTTCCTTCTCTGAAGCATCACTTGAGAGGCCCAATAAAGCTCGTACTCGTTTTGATTTCACATCCAATATCGTGTCGGTGTAGCCCACTTCTTGTAGATACCTGCAGGAACAGAACTCATGCTAATCTTCCATGTACATTTCACTTATTCAAAACAGTATATGAAAACTTCTCCCTAAACTCATCTTCAACCCCTTAGCTTAGCAAAGTATGGTGCTGCACTGATGAAACACGCTTATAAATCATCCTGTACCAGCTGCAGAGGGATCGCCTCTTGCAGTACCAGCCTCTACAGCGGCGCGGGGGGGGAGGGGGGGGGAGGGGGGGGGGAAATCAAAGAGCCTAGCAGTCAGAGGTTATACAATACGTTATTCATTCATTTACTAAAATGGATGGAAAAGCACTTTTAATTAAAATATTTACAACTGGCTTATAAAAATCAACAGTTGCATGTGTACAACATGGCCATTTTATTCTTCAATACATGGAAACTACACATGAAGCCTGACAAGAAGTATCAGATTAAGTTCCTTATATAAGCACTATTAGAAGCCTAGAAAACAGAGGGAATACAAACAAGTCATAGGCATAGAATACCAGGTTGGAAGGGACCTCAAGAACCATCTGGTCCAATCTATTCTGTAGATGTAGCTACTAGGAGGAGTTGTTATTTATAACGCACTAGGCTTGATAAAAATCTCTGTCTTGCCTTTCCATTATTCTGCAATGGATCCGCAAAATATTAATTTGTCTTGCATATATGGGCTGGGC